CAGGGAGGCAGTGTGTGGAGCCATTTCCAACCTACGAAATGTAGATTTTACACGAGTTTTATCACAGTTCAGTCATATAATTCAGTTTAAAGCTCAACAAACACATTTTAGGGTGAAGCATCTGTTTAACTGGTTAGACAAAAGAAGGAGCACTTATTACAACAACCTCCTTCCCCTATTAGTTGCAGGCTTAACATTATGTAAAAGTGAAAAAGTGCTCTGTCAACTTTACCAAGACAAACATAAAAGAAGATCTCTAGCCAGAGCAGCACCAGCTGCCTTCTGTTTAGTGTGAGCTTTCAAATTATAACAGTGTTCTGAAACCAAATTATTAAACAGTCTCTATGGTCCAACAGAGCAGCAGCAATGCAGCACAAAGTGTGACCAGGGGGACTTCTTACTTTTTATCACCTCATAATTCAACAGTTTCACTGCAGTAAGGAGGCAGAAAGAGAAGCAGTGAAGTGACTCCTCTTTTATTCTATTAAAAGCTAACCTACAAGTTTGTTACTAAAACAGAACAACTGGTAAATGATAAGGATGTTTCTTGTTCACTGATGAGAGGCAAAGTTTGTGAAGACTTGTGTTTAGTAGTTTAACAGGTGCTGTTGAGTCCTGGCAGCACAAAGTTTGTCAAAGCCTGCTGTCCCCACCTTACTTCTGCACTCTATCCCTGGTGTACTATTTGGGGGCTTAACACCAATTAAAATCTCCAGTGCCTTGTAAAGCTGGGGATACACAATACGCAAAAGTGTGTGGGTGTCCCTTGTGTGTCAGGTGCTGCAGTTTCGGGTAGCAATGAAGATATAATGCCCATCTAATGTCTGTTTAAGACCCCAATATGACACAGTGATCCCTTGGCATCGGTGTGCGAGTGGCGGGGGGCCAGAACAGGCCCACAGTCAGGAGGGCCTTGTTATGGATAGGCTGGTGGTGACAGTTGTTACCAAGGAAAGAAGCTAAATATTTTCTGCATCAAACACAGTGCCAAATACAAATTCAGCAGACAAATTTAGCCACCATACTTTTGCCCCAAGGTCAGTTATATTTTAACATTAACACAACTAAGTTTATATTCTTATGACTAATAAGGTATGTGCAGGATAATTCACGGTTTCTCACAGACAGACAGACAGACAGACAGACAGACAGACAGACAGACAGACAGACAGACAGACAGACAGACAGACAGACGTCACTTCAGTACCTTGAGGTCCTTGTTGAGGCCGATTATAGCAGTTGGTGTGAAGGCCAATGACAGGAAGTGGGACAGGGGGAACCAGAACCAGAACTGGGTGAAGACCAGCAGGCCAACCATTGAGGGCATGTGAGTGTGACCCGTCCTGGACTGCAGAGAGATGGTCACGTTACGTCCACCTGGACAACAGAGGGCCGAAGAGGTAGAGGACATGTCAGTATTATGGCACAGACCTACATCATTCACCAGATAAAAACAGGTTTTATGCTAAATAACTCTTAATGACAGCAGGATGGCTCCAACATGTGGCTGTGTGGCTGTATATGTATGAAAATGTACAGAGAGACCAATGAAAGAGACCTTGTGAGAGTATAAAGTGTACAGCAGAGGATAGTGAAACAGACTCGCCACACACACAAACAACCCTGGTGCTTCCACAATGCTGGAGGCAACTACGATTTGTTTTTCAGTATGGATTGAACAAATTGCTAGGATAAAACAAACCTTAATGTCATACAACGTTAAAACCAATTACATAATATGTTGGCGCTCAGTTTCCAGATTCTTGAGTTACAGTAGTATATAATGTAGTTAAGTGGCACTTAATAATCAATTATTTCTTAATCTATTAAGAAAAGCCCCCCATGCTCCCTCAAATTTCCTGTTTAAATGATGAAGTGATTTTCTCAAGTTTGAAGCAGGACATGATATCTGTCAACCATTGTGTGTGAGTGGGCGGGGCAGTGTGCCTCGACCTGAGCAGGATCGCCCGACGAGCCAGAAGGGAAACAAAAGATAAAGTACATTGTTTTACTGCAGTTAATTGTGTCTTTCCTCCAGTTACCCGAACTAGAGCACCCATAGGATTTGGTTCCAGTCTGATGTTTAGCGCCTGAGATAGTTTATGAAAGATCCCCTTCCAGCACTTGTTAGGACTGGGGTATGACCAATACAAATGAAGAGAAAAGCCCTCGGTACTTTTACACTTATCACAGAATGGACTCACCTCAGGATGCATTCAGGATAGATTTGCTTTTGAAATATGAGCACTATGTACCACTTTGAACTGAATTACGTAGTGATGAGCACACAGAGAGCTTGAATTGACCCATTTAAGCACATCATTTCATGTATTTTCTGATAGGGAGAGGCCTAAGTCCTCCTCCCATGTTGCTCTGAGCCCCATGGGGGCATGCCTTGGATCCGACACCATGTCATAAAGGGCTGAGATAAGCCTTTTGTGAGATGGATTTAAAGAGAGTATTGTATCAACGATGGTGGTGACTTTTTATATGGGAGAACCGGACAATTGAGAAGTACATAGCGGCTTGCCTGTAAGTACCCTTTTTTTTTTTTTTTTTTTTTTTGTATAAAATGTGAATCAGGACGGGGTTGGAAAAGCATGCTTACTCCTGGTGAAAAGGAGAGTGCATGCAGAGCAAACCTCAAACAATCTTTATGCATCCCTGATACATAAAAAGGTTAAAATACATACTACTTAGACAATTTCCGTATAGATAGAAAATGTACTCCAGAGAATCCAGGATTACCACAATTGACATATACTTAAGACTTTGCAGATTACCATGACAAATAAAAATAACAAAAGGTGCAAAGTTGGAGGCCAGCTACTCTTTGTTTTAACAATCACATTCCTTATCATTGTTCAGTTTTTTGGGATTTCTTTTGAAGTCATACTAATCACTGATTGTGAAAAGAACCCTATTTCAACTTGGCACAAGAATTGTACGATGAGGGAGTGGAAGGTTAATGAGGGTACAGATCAGGATGGTCACCACCCTAAAAAGGTCGTCTTTTTGGCTTGCGCCTGTCTGATCTGTTGATTACAGGGAAAGATTTATATTACAGGGACAAACTGGCAAGCCAATTAAAAAAAAATGCATTGTCTACAGCATCCTGCATTTAAATCTGAAAGATAAACTTCATTCATTATTATTAGATGTGAGCTCCACAGGAGATTAATAATTCATCTACATTACAAAAGGTGTCAACTGTCCCAAAAATATCAGATGATTTTCCCAGGTGTTCCCAGTACTGTAGTTAGTTACATTTTCAAAGGAGTAAATCTAAATCTGTAAATAATAAATTTTTATCAAGTCTTTATGTTACATAGTCACCTCCCACAGAAGGGCATTATCCACCACAGTGAGCAGTAAACAGGGTCATCTTGTGGTTAGAACATACACACTCTAAAATTAGACAAATATAACATCCCAGTAATAAATCAGACTGAAACTGTATTAGAGAGGTATAGATTCAACTTTATGGTTACTTTGGAGGATGTAATTTGTATTGCGCTATACTGAGAGGTGATTCTACACCTACATTTTACCAGGTATACCTAATAAACTGGCAATTTTGAGGAAAAACTACCTCCATATTTTAGCTTGCATTTCTCTCTCATTCCAGAAAAATAATCATTTCTAAATCACACGAGGTCCCCTGGTAATACTAGTCTCATGCAATTAGAGCTTAAGAGAGCGTTCTGGGAAACTGGAACATTGTTGCAGGATACAAATGTTGTATAAAGGATCTGGTTAATAATTTTACCAGCTAAGTAAAGGGACAATAATGATACTGTGAAGCCATTTTCTTCTAAGAAAGAGTATGTTTATGTGTGTGAGACCAGTTATCAGCAAGGTTAAGGGGTTGATCCTCAGTGTGGCCTCTCATGGTGACACTTTGTGCTCTCCAAAACAGAAAGTTTCCAATTTTAGTTTGTCTGTGGAGCTGACAATATATGTGATGAACCAGGGTCAATTGTGCTCTTTGGAGCAATACCAAAGAGTAACATACCTCCCTTAGCCTTTCTAGGACAAACAATAGGAAGTGACTGCAGAAGGGAAGACAGAGGGAGGGGGAGGAAGAGAAGATAGGAGGCAACCAGGATAAAACTGTCATCTCCACAGGGATGAAAAGGTAGGTTACTAGGGAGTGGCATTTCCAACTAAAACTGAAGTCTGCCCTGGTAATACCGGCTAAATCATCTGCTGTGTTTTTTCTTTGTGGTCACTTTTTTTCTGAGGTAAACTAAGATCATTTAATAACAAGGCCTTATTCTTGTTCAAACCATTCCAGTCTCACAAATTGGCCAGAATGAGTCACAAGGTCTGCTTGCTGCAATACAACTGGGTACTTAAGAGTCTCTTAAAAACTTGAGAAGAGGTTGAGAGCACTTGACTAGTCCTGCTGTTTTTGCCAACTCTTAGTTTGGTGTGCCAATTTTCATTCCGAGGAGTTGGTGAGGGAGGCACAGGGATATGAGTCATTTCTCAAAAAGGGTGTTACATGACAATATCAACAATCTACCTGTTTGCTTGGTTGCTTTGAAAAGATAAAAAAAAAAAAACAGAAGAAAGTAGTCGGGGCATGTCTCATTCATGAGAGAGAAATCACTAATTAAAGCTAATTAATGGACTTTATCAATTAGTGAGGTAAAGTCTGTAACCGGGAGCTGAACATGTAGGGGTGAGAGAGTGTGTGTGAGAGAACGAGCAGAAGAGACTGACATTTCCTGGGTAATGAGCAACGGTGATCATGAAACTGAGCTGTAATCGCTTCCGCCCATCAAATTAAATACAATTACCCATGTTCCTCAAACACACCTAAATCCCTAGAAGAACCAGAATAGTAAAACATTCATTCCGCACAAGCTTGAGCATGTCTGACATTCGAACAGGAGTAGTGTGTTTCCTGCCTGACTGTGTTTAAACTGTAAGCTACACGCACTCAACTGTACTGAAAACACGGGTTAAGCACTGAGAGCTGGAGTTTGGCCTGAAGCGCGCGGGGGGGAGGGAGGGGAGAGTGTCTGCTGTATGAAAAATGACACCGGTGGTCAGGGTTTGTCTGGACGGTCTCACGCAGGGTCAGCTCAGCATGTTAGCCGAGTTTATTACGGTTAATGTGCCTGATTTGATACACGATTGAGGTCCTGCCTGACATGAAGATGGCTAATCTGCTCGGAAAGAAATTACCATCAAATAGTGCTGCAGGAGGGGCGGCGTTAATCAAGAGGGAATTTCATGACGGATGAAAAACATTAATGAGGCACATCATCACAAGAACACGTATGCTGTACTGATCGTTTGAAGTAACAGCACAAATACTTGAGATAGGCTTCACTTTGTGTAAGTTGCAACACCTGATAGTGTATTTAGACAGCTGTGTGTAAACAGAGCTGGTTTCTCTCTGGCTTAGCACACAGGGTTTTATGTTAGTGCTAGAAAATGGGTTTCTGCTCCTGCCTGCATTGGCGTTTGTGTATACATGTGAATATGGGTGTGTTCTGCCTGTGTGTGAGTGTGTAGCTCTACATGTGATGATGTGCAGCTCTCTAGGACCTCACACACACAAACACACGCTGCATGCTTGTGTCCACAAACACCCGCGCAGACACACAAACACAGAGACTTATCAGACAAACAGTAATCACCAAGGGGAGACCAACAGGCCATATGGCTGAGAGCGGAGCAGAGCTGAGGTAGGAACACCAGACGCTAATGCACCTTAGCATGATCTGTTCCAGAGACACAGTGCACGGGTGGTCAACCGAAGAGGGTTACTCGTGTTTGCTTGAGCGTAAAGGAACTCAAATTAAGGGGCACACACACACACAAAACCACAAACCCACGTTACAGTTAGAACAGTTCACTTGTTTTACAGTGTAATTAAGACTGTTGGTCTTTTCATGTCCCCTGAGAGGTGACGGCTGTTCAAGCAGGCAGGAACCAAATAGCGGTTTGATCTCTTGCTCAGTGACATGTATAAAGCCACTGAGATCAAGCTGGTGTCTTTCCAGTTAACAGACTATTTCCAACAAACAGCCAGCATAAACGGGTACATATATTCTGTTTGGACACTAACCTGCATCGAGGATTCCCTGGGCCAGGATGGCGCCAAACTTGGCCATAACATCATCATGCTTGTCGTTGATCACCTTTGCATAAAGCTGCCTGAACTGGTTCACCTAAAATAGTGACGGAAGGAAAATATGTTAATTTATAAACACACAATTCTGTTATGATATTCACATCAATGATGGATTCCTGTCTTTAAATTTGAGAGACTGGAATTTATTTTTTCTTAACATTTACCCTGAATTGGAACCTAGTGTTTGTGAAGGCAATTAAACAAACATGGCTGCAAACTAGCAACATTGTACCTACTGAGTACAAACCTTTACTCTGGGGAATATTATGCTACACAATTGTACCAATATGCCTTTTCATAAACCTGGCTTTTCATTGTAACTTTATTTTGTGAATGTAATTAATGACCAAGAATCCCTTAAAGTTTTAGAAAGGGTGTATGTTTGCAATTTATTTTGTCTGTCCCTCCTCATTTTCCAAATTAAGGGAAGTTATATGCTTGAATGTGGCTGTCACAGGCTGTTGTCATATTCTGTCAGCACAATAGTCATAACAAGGCCACATCAACATTGCCACATCATAATGATGGTGTAGTACCTGTGGGAGTCCTAACGGCATCTCTCTCACCAGAGTGAAACTTTAAATAAACACTGTGCTGGATAGTTATCTGCCAATTTGGGCCAATTTACCACCTTAAAACAAGAGGTCTAACATTTCTGTGAAGCAGAGCTGGGAATTACAAAGACTGGGACTTTGAAATAAACAATCAAGGATGTAATACCTCTTGACATACCACTGTTTGGAGAAAAAAAACTGTATCTTGCACAATCCTGCATATGGCTTTGAGGTTTAAGGACTGTTGCTGTGCAGATGAGGAGTCTTTCAAAATGTGTCTGGCAAATCTTAACCAGCTATGACAAAGTATGAGGTACCCTGAGGGTGAGTGCGTGCAGTTATGTTGGGACTAGTCACTATCCAGTCTTCCATGACAGAGATTTCTTTCACTCTGTCTTAATAGTTCTAATGGTTTCTGCTTTCGGTCAAGTCTTCCCCTTTCCCCCCCCCATTTTCTTTTCCCTCACTCATTACTCAGCAAAAAGCTCTGGTCTCAGTGGTGTTAAGCATGATTTTAAGAGTCGCTGAGGCATCCTGTCATTTCACAGATAACCAACAGGCCACCCAGAGAAAAAACAGAGCAGTTGTTTTATTTGTGCTCCATACATTTTTACATACTGGTTCACATTCAAAAGGAAATGTCTCTGCGGTTTAAAAGGTCTGCTAGGCCTATAAAAGAAGTATCTAGACCAAAACTTTGACAGGTGCTGTTGTAACTGTTGGCTATAAAACAATTTCAGCAATAATAACGGAGAAGCAATTAAACAAGTCTGGATAAAAAAGGAAAGCAAAATGCAAACATTTTGACATTACCTTGGGACAGGTGACTTCAGTCTGCTGGATCATGATGAGGGCAGAGGCAATGAGTGCACCTTGTCTCACATAATTTACTGGGTCGTTGGTCATGGGCTCCAGCAGATTGATGGCCTCCTGTGGAGGAAAAGGCATAACAGAAAAGTTGGTAATATTGCTTAAATTAAGGCTATAATATGAAACATTTGCGCATTAAAATATCTAAAAACACCTCATATCTCCTTTGCACATGTGGTTGTCATAAATTATCTTTTTATCAAGTTTTAAGTAACATTTTTACCATATACTTTTTAGATCTTGGTCATTTATTTATTTTTTGGGGCCTTTTCATGGCTTTATTGGATAGGACAGCCGAAGATTGACAGGAAAGGTGGGTAGAGAGAGAGGGGATGACACGCAGCAAAGAGCCGCAGGTCGGATTCGAACCCAGGAACTATAATAATAATAATAATAATAATAATAATTAAAAAAAGTAATCAAATGACTTTCCAACTTTCCCAGACCAGATTCTTGAAGGTGAAGTTGACAAATTGACTGTTATAAGATTATTTGTTTAGTATTGCTTTACAAAAGATAAAATAATGACCTCTTTTAATGAGTAGGGAAATTTTGACTTTTTCTATATCTTGCCATTCCCTTCCAGAGAAGAACAGTGCAACCGGGGCACGTTTGTTTGGTTAAATACAGGAAAAGGGATTATCAGCAGAGGCAACCAGACCACACAAATTAATTACATTAGCTCATCCATATCTGGTTGCTCGGGACAACTGAGTAACAGTTACAACAAGCCCCGCCTCCTTCAGTTTCCTCCCATGATCACTCTGAATGAAAAAATAAAAGGAGGACCACCTTTCTTCTCCTCTTATTTCTGCACTCTTCTGTTCTCAGCTGAGCAGTAATGGCTGTAATTCACACCACCAGACTCAGAGGGAGGCGTCAGCTCCGCCGAGGAAAGAGAAACAAACTCTGATGATGACAGCGGAGGTAAAATAAACCATGTTTCATCAGTGCTCTCGGCTCAGCTGGCTGAGACAGTCGTGTACCGGGATGATAAGTCAAGAGTGTAAAGCCAACACCAGTCGACCACATCCTGTTCTTGATAGGTTGTCGGGTGGTTTAATTGAGGGTATTTACTGTCAGGACCAATCAGCAGAGCAGGTCTACACATAATATGGCTGCTTCAGATCCTCTTAATCCATGTACAGTGGTGGACTGTTTTCTTCAGGCTTGTACCTCAGCATGAATTGAACTTTAAATGAGATTTAATTTAGAAAAAAAATGGCAAGAAGCTTATGTAAATAAACTCAAAACAGCACAGAACACACTTTACCACGACATAATTTCCATTTTCATACATATTTATAAAACTGTATCATATAACAGTATTCTGAAACACTGGTTCTTTTTCTTGGTGAACAATGCTTCCATCCAATTCACTAAACAAGCTGAACTGCATTTAAGATTTTCAATATCGCACAAATCAGCATGAAACAAACCGACAACAGAAAAGATCAGCTTTCCTGTGCAGGTTTTTCTTTTACGTATAAAAACAGATCAGGAACATCAGTCCAGTAAAAATATCCAAAGCTCAAGGTGTGCAAATGATGGCAAAGGAATGTGCTCCCTCTAAATAGGTGACCCACTTCTCTTGCCGCATCATCATTTTTCTCAGTAAGGACCTAATGTGCTTGAGGTTTTATTCTGGAAAAACCAAGCAGTGGATCTTTGGAGCTGATCAGCTCTGTAGCATGCCTCGGCCTGGTCTGGTCCAAAACATTCACTTTGGTGCTTCAAGGCTCAGGATGCAATGAGCCATGACTCTGCCAGACTATCAGCCCACATAGTTAGACAACTCGGGATCTGGCAGCACCCTAACTTCTGTCTTCTTCACTCTCCTTGTCAGACCTCAATGAACCGAAAGACAACGACAGGGTACAGCCTGGTGACTGTGTGCCAAATTGGACCAAATCTCCCAAGAACGTTCTACAATTTATGAGCTCAGTGCTGACTTTCAATGAAAATTAAAGCAAGTTTTAATAGTTTACAAGTAAAATAGCTGTTTACTTTTGTTTTAATCACTATATACAGTAACCAAGATAATGGCTGTTGCACTTTGCTCAAACTGTGGCATCATTTCAAAATTGTTTTTAAACGGGTGAGGTTCAAAAGAAATCTTGTAAGATCAACTTGGGATAACAGCTTGGCTTTAGAGCAATATTACATCCATTTTCTAAGGAAAGCAACATTTGTTCTGGTGGCATCCTTACATCTGACAACTTCTCCAACTTCTGCAGTGGATAAACAACACAAGTCTGTACTTGCTCATCTAAGATGAGCCTCACAAAAGGAGCCATCAGTATTAAGGAAAACCCTTTGTGCAGCATATATAATCTTTGCATCAGTGACGCACGTGTTACGCCAAGACAAAGATAGTACATAGGATAAATGAGGACATCGGGACCAACACTGCCTTTGTGGTTGAGAAAATGATATCTAAGCTTTTTTTGTACACAGTCTTAACGAAGAACATTAATTCCAGTAATGAGCACCAATCCCAACAGAAGCATGCTCTTGTGCAGACATCTCTTAAACAAGTACTCATTTACATCTTGGAACGGAGATAACTAGAAAAACCTATTTGTGTGGTAATATGACTGAGGTATTTGTAATATGACGATGAGGTTTGGTCCATATGGTTCCCCCCTTGTATGGGGGGGGGGGGGGCTTTATCTCCTTTATCTAACCAGAGAGAGAACCACCACCACCCTACTTTTAATATACCAGTGTTAAGCTGCTGTTAATAAATGTCAAACATTGTTGCACATGTTTCAAAGGCCTACAATCATTCCCGATTTATTTTGAAACACTGTTTTGAATTTCATTAACAACAGCTCAACACCATAAAAAGAAAAAGGTTAGGTACGGTCATTGTGTTTTAAGTTTGAAAGGAGGGGGGATAGGGGAGGCACTCACCTTGTTTCCTGTCCCAGCACAGCAGATGCCCAGAGCCATGGCAGCTCCACAACGCACATGAGGGTTGTAGCTCTCTGACAGAAGAGACACCACACTGGGACACTGCTCAGGGGTCCTAAAATGAGAAAGAGAGAGAAAGAGAGAGAATTTAAGAGCGAGTCAAGCAGAAACTCGTGGAGTTTACCATTATAATGACAGCTGAGGAAAGGGCAAGAGTGTGTGTGGACCAAATTTTACTCATTGATGAAACTCATGAACATTGTACAGAACTATAAAAAAAAATTAAACTGGTTTAGGTTAAAAGGACCAGTGTGTAGGCTTCAGTGACATGTAGTGGTAAAGTTGCAGTCTGAAACCATTTGAAAACAGCTCAGCCTTCCAGGCATGTAGGATCTGGAGCGCTATTCAGAGGCAGTGTTTGGTGTGTGAAAGAAAGAAACATGGCGGTTCAACATGGTGGACTAGAAAAAGAGGACCCACTCTCTGTGGATAAAAACAGCTCATTCTAACACCTGAAAATAAGAATCACGTTTTTGTACAAATGAAAACATACGTATGAATACCATTTTCCATTTCCTTCAATAAATCTTCCTAAATGTTACACACTGGACCTATCATTTTTAATATCATTTTTGGGAAATCGCAACTATTGGAAAAAAGATCTGCAGAATTTAGAATTTATGCCCACAATAATATCCAGACCAAAATCGGCACTTAAATGATGGATGAGGACATTTGTTCCATTTAATGGAAAAGTGCTCTGAGGGCTTGAGCAAAAGAGCCACATGAACCATCAGAATCAGAATCAGAATTAGGTTTATTGCCAAGTATGTTTTACACATATGAGGAATTTGTCTTGGTGCATAAAATATAAAAATCACACAAAAATAAAATATAAATAAATAAAGATAAGAAAAGAAAACTGTACAGGAAACGGGAGTGCATTAATGTAATGCATATATACAGGGTGGGTAACCCTTGTAGTCATCTTGAGATGGCTGATGGGGAACGCTCATTTGGGTAATCTTTCAAAAGTCTAAGAGCTGTGGCAATTTGTACAACATGGCACAAAGGGTCATGAACTAAACACCATTATGTTTGATTCCACAGGTGCATTCACCTGCAGATCTATATGCTTACTGTTATTCCTTCTGTATTCAGGAAGAGCCTACATGATATCCATGTAATAGGAGAATTCAGTGATAGGTGGTTAGAAAATTCAAATTTTCTGAGTCAGAGCTAAACAAAGTGCAGAGAGAACAGAGAAAGTGAGTGAGAGAAAGAAAGGTGAAAGAGCTTGGGTATGAAATGCGGGGCTTTGATTTATCCCTCTGAAAAACCTCCAAGTCCTTGTGCATTTTCTCCAGTGGTGCTGTTGTGGAATAAAAAGAATAGAAATAACGGAGCCAAACCATTTCAGCCAAATCTTTGGCTCAAGGTACAATTGAAAAGGCCGTGGCTCATTAGGATTTTTTCCCACTTCTTGTATAAACTGTTTCTTTGCCAAAATGAAGTGAACATTAAGGGATTTAAATTAAAATGTGCCAAGAATGTGTCTATTTTTTTTTTTTATTAATTACAGAAGACAACTTATCATTCAATTGAAATAGCCAAGATAATGGGATTATAATATTATTAACAAAAAAAAGCACTTAAACGGCATACAGATATGAGTCACAGACCACTCCACTTTATGTACTGTTGACTACTTGACAAAAGCATTATGAGACAAAGGGTAGTCATGATAAGGACCACACGCAATTATTAGGTCCTTCAAGTTAACCTGATGGAGTCTAAATTGGAGGCCTTAAGTATGGGGAGAACACTTAAGTCATAATGAGATTATCTTCAATCAGTACATGCCAGATAACTAACACTAATGTGGAGTCTTGTCGCATTAGGTTTCTGTCACCAGGGGAAAATGCCAAGCACCAATGTGCTGGTATCCCGATTTCAACAAAAACATTCACAAGATTTAATAGAGATATTCAATTTGAAAGAAAAAAAAAAGGATTAAAAAACATGTATAAGGTTGAAGTAATCTGTTTTATAACCAAAAATGTTATCTGACAGATGAGCTGATTGTTGAGATTACTCTGTCACAAAACATGTTTGGTTTGCTTGAAACTGCCACTTGGAGTGAGTCAGTCAAAAAATAAATAAATAAGAAAAGATAAGAACAAAGTCTAAAACCAGTTTTGTAATCAGCGGCACAAATCACTGTCCCAACAACACAGCAACTGAAGGGGCTCAGGCTGCTGCAGTTGCTTACACTGAACTAAAAGCTCATTGATCGGATTAAAGAAAGAGGAAAAAGAGATAGATAAATCACCTAGCTGTGGCTGGCCCTCAGCTGGTTTAAGTTTGTGTATTTGCCAAGTAATACAACATTAAGAAATTAAACAGACAATACTGAAAATAAACACTAAAAGTAAGTCATAAATACAAAAGATAAATAAATAGTAAAAATAAGTGTTTACTACAACTGTCCGTTCATAAGCAAAATTACTTTTGGCATGACAGCTTTAGCAGCTGCTTTTACTAGGAAGAAGGAAAGAACCAGATAACAGAAATCAAATAAAAGTTAAAATACAGCAAGGTAAGAAACAGTAAACGTTGCATTATTGTGAGAGCTGCGGCTATATTACATTATATTAAGCGCATTAAAAGTATTGAAGGTGGCCAAGATATCAGAGTCTCTCATTCTTCATTTAACACACCATTAATAGTACTGCCTAAATGCTCACAATGTAAAATAAGGGGGGGAAACAGAAAATACAAAGATTTGGGTTAAGCCTCCATCTGATTTGAATCAATGAATTGCCTCAATAAAGTCCTGAAAATGATGTCTAAATAAGTTATAATCTTCCCTGTGTTTTGTGTTTAGTCCTGTGCATGCTTTGAGAACATGCCACTATATTGATGATCTCTACTCTGAGATTAGAAGCTCAGCTCATGAGGATTATCAAGATCTAGATCAACTTGCAATTTCACCTACTAAGGCTGCTCCGATCACTAGAAGTAGTATCGGCTGATAGCGATCACAGGGTCTATTTAAAGCCTTATGTTAATACCAATACCTGCTTTTGCAGCAAACACACACCGTGCTGTCTGTCTATTATAGCATGAAAAAGTATGAACCTGGCCATCAAAAGTTTCTTTTGTAATAGCTAGACAAAACTTTCCTGTGGCTTTTTCAAATTATTGAATCTGGAGCCTTTTCACCATTTTCAAAAGTAGAAGATAGTTGGCTAAATTACCTTTCACAACCGGCAAAATGGAAGAACTCAGATGGAAAGAAGAAATCAATATCTAGCATTGTTGAGTCTGAAAAGGCAGTGAAGCAATGACGTCTGTATTTCAAGCCTGTGTGATGGACTAAAGTTGATTACAGGTAACAAGGCTTACAAACACATTCAGCCTGCCGTGGACTTTGGATCTAACCAAATCCATTGGTAATTCTTTGGGAAAATATAGCTATCTCATTCACCATGACCCAAAGACAATGAAGCCTTCAGCAGTGCACAGAGCAGCTCCTGTACTCAGATCCATGTAAAACAATATATGCTTTATGAGTTTATTGGCCATACGCGCCAAATTAGAAATATTTACTTGCCCTAGGCTTTTACTTGGCTGGTTAATGTACTGTATGACCATATGTGCATGTCTCACATTTATTATGGGGTGAGTGACAAGAGGCTGATACAGCTGCAACTTAATAACTCCCTGTCTACAAGTCCCAGGCAATGCCCTGGGAAGTAACACGCACATTAAAAGGTCATTGAAAGAAGCAGGAATACTGCTTAGTTGAACAAATTATAGGCAGATTTTGCCACATGAAATGTGATTGTGTCGCATTGTAAGAGAGCAGATCTCATTAGCTTGTTTCCTGTCCATTATAACCACTTACCCAAATGCATAATGAAAGTACCTGGACAACGTTGTATTAAACAAGCCAAGAGGTTGCATGGCTTTTATAGTTAACACTTAAATTGAAATCATCCAATGTCTGGAAAGGAGGAAATAAGACAGACACTGTGACTACCAACAAGGGAACTATTTTTTTAGTTATGCAAATTTGTAAATAAAATCACAAATTACAACTTAATACTACAAGTTTCCAGAGTACAATAACTGCTGACAGCTATGGACGTTTCAAAGTGTGCAAAATTTGTAAATCTGATCACGCAAGTTGGGGTATGATTAAAAAGTTTTGTCTGTGTGGAATGTATTTGATATTATGTGAGCAGAAGTCAGCATACTGCTAGCAGCACACCTTTAGCTGTTACCTGCATTTTCCAGTAATCACACATAGGGTCTGCTTAAACTCTAGTTTTTAACACCAGCTATCACAAATTGTAACATAATAAACCATCTGGCAGTCAGGTTACAAAAGAACCCGTACAGGACAGACTATCTTTTAAAGCTACTGGCACCCGAAAGAGAATTAAGGAACATGTTTCAACTTAACATTTGGTCTATGGACTGTTCTTTGCTGGGATTCCTAAGGGTGCACAGATGTGGGGGGGTTACTGGCTATACATGTCACATTTACTTGTGAAGAGAAGAATCACTTATCTGGTTACTGTAACAGGGATCGCTTGTATCCATGTCCTTTAATGTCTTACATCTGCTTTTAAAAGCATAACAATGAGTACACACAGAGAAAACACATTTTGACTTGAGGCAGGTAGATCAAATGAAAAAACAAATATGGTCTAAAATAGGATCTTATTTAAATTACTTTCTCAGACTAAAAATGTGAACTCATGGAGGATGAAATGAAAACGATAGGGTACAAGTAAAATCTTTGAGCCCCTTACCACACAGAAGGCTTCACCCCATACACCACTACTACTACACCCCCCACCCCTGCAAGCATTGAAAGGAGGAGAGAACAGAAAGTGACAAATATAAACAGTGGGACGGCTGTGTTGAGGGAAATTACCTCCCAGAACCACTGGCATGTTGCCAGTACGAAGACATTCATCTGTTTCGTACAGAGTCTGACTCATAGGCAAGACAGAGAGAAGGGAGGGGAAGAGTGGGAGAGCGAGCAAGACGGGAGAGAGTGCAATCTGATCACAGGCTGTGAACAAGAGGCAGCGAGTGGGAATGGCAGAGAGGCAGAGGAGCCACAACATCTGAAAGTTTTAAACCTGTGATCGCGGTAGGTGATGCGAAGCAAGACTGGGGGTTCCTCCAACATGTGGAAGGAAAACAAATTCCACTTCATGGACTGCTTCAGACAGAGACAGATTTAGGTTTTGCCGCTGAGGGAGGGCATTCTCTGTCAGGTTCGTATTTGGGGAGGGTGGAAATATAAAGATGATATAAAGATGAGATTTTGAAAAAGATTAAACTAAGAACTAAAGACTGAAATGCATTGGACAGTAAGCAATATTTTGTGCTGGGAGAACAGTATAGCTTTAGTGTTTATGAAAGTTAAGACGTAGCGGCTTGAAAAAAATACTCCAAGAGTTGAAACGTCAACGAGGAACTTGAATGTACAGACACGTTACCTCCAGGAGCAGGTAAGAAACTTTTGCAAAATACAAAATAATATTGATATATTATTATATTATATATATATTAATATTAAATATTGATCAAGTTTGATTTTGTGTAATCTATAGTCGTGTACATCTTTGTAGGCTTAGGTACTGTAAAGAGTGAGAGAAGTCATGTATTGTTCATCTAAACCGACTTGGAGGTTTTTAAATAATTTTAATACCTTATTTCTGTTTTTATACATCAAAAAAACATTACAAAAATTAAATATCTGAATTTAATTACCTTACATTATTAATTACCTTATACGCATTAATATATACAGTTTGATTAAAAAAACAATTATTGAATTATATATTTTTTATAGCTATTTTTCCTTATATTTTCCAACTCTGTACATTTCTTTGCTGTAATGTGGAAACAATAATGGTCACCACAAAGGAAAGACCCTCTTCATTTGTTACAATAAATGTCTCATTATTATTCCATGATTTAGACAAATTAAAGCTGGTTCAAAGTATTGCTGTTCCTTTAACAAACGTGTTTGTTCTTTTAAGTGGACCCAGTGGATGACAAGAGTATCAACTGCCTGGGAAAGTGAGGACCCCTGCTAACATCTCACTGTGGAAATACTAATTGTGTTGGGATTATTGCCAGAATTGGAGTTCACAGTGTTGGACCCTGTTTTTTTTGGTTTTCTTTGTCCCCTCCAAGCAGTGGATCTAGCAGATATTCATTTTGGTTTATACACTGCACAAGGGATGAAGCATCCTGTGCACTAACCAGCCCTACCCTGTGTCCTTGCCTGTGGGACCCAGTGACCATGCTGACCGAGTGTCCAACACCAGAAAGATCAGAGCCCCGACCCACGCTAAGGCCTGCTGTGACCTCTGCAGCACCATGTCTCAAGCAGTCGCGGCTCCACAAGAGGCCAACAGCTTACAGTCAGGAGAAGCGCCTGGGGTTCAGCTGAAATGGGCTGCCCTGCTTATTGTCATGGTTATCATCCCGACTATTGGAGGAAACATTCTGGTCATTCTTGCTGTGTCACTCGAAAGAAAGCTGCAGAACGCCACCAACTACTTTCTAATGTCGCTTGCTGTGGCTGATCTGTTGGTGGGACTCCTTGTGATGCCCATTGCCCTCGTCACTGTTCTCTACAGTAAGTTTAGCATTGAGCCTTGTGTTTAAAAACCTGATAGTCTGCCACAAAACTGTGTAATACAAAATAAATAAATACTTGACCCTACAGAGAAAAACATGTCCTTGCTCAATGTGAAAATCAATTCCTTCTAATGAAATAACCCAAAAGATGAATGCCTTTACCGTTATACTTAGCTTGGTTTTAAGTGTTTAATCCCTATTGGCTGACCAGTTTGAAAACAACCTTGGGTAAAATACTCATAAAACTCAGTAAACCATTACTAACAAGTTTTCAAGACAACAATGATTTAAAGTGAGTGTAAGAGTTAGTGTGTGTCTGTGGGGTGAAGGCATAACAAGCTACAAACATTTGAGAAGGAGGAAAGCCCCCCCATTTTCATGGGGAAACTATTTACTTTTCAGAAAACTAGTCTCCAAAGAAAAACAGGCCAGCATACTTACGGGTATCTAAGGAGGATAAAAATAGTTTGCGACCAAAACACTAGATACAATCATGATTGTCTTTAAACAAATTATTCTAGATGAAATATAACAAGAGATGGTGGACAATAAACATCCTATTTCCTCTGGCAGTGATATGATAGCAGTTGCACAGCTAAGACTGAACTACTGGTCAAGGGGATCATTACCCATAGGAATAAATGCTAATGAAAAGGTTTTATTTTAATTCCAGTGACAGTGCTGTGTAAATACAGCTGCATAGGAACTGATTAAGACTCATATTCTCTATGTTTTAAGGCAAATACAGAGCTATGGTCATTAGCCAAGGCATTATTGTCAATTAATTCAATTGGAGGATAATAAGCCAGATCATAATTATGTCTCTCTCTCTCTCTCTCACACTCCCCTTTCTCACACACAGACACACACGCGTCATCACATTTTGCACGACAACTGGATATGTTACATTGAAAGGCAAAGAGTCAAACTGGTAGAGATGCTGCTTTTCTCTATTTGATGAAGGCTTTATCTAAGGCTCTGATAAAAAGTCAAAACCCATAGGTTGATATACAATGCAGTAGGCGTGAAAGCATTCCATGCATGCGTTAAAAATCCACCAGTATGATTGTCTGTTAGGCTGTCGGCAGGCAAGGCACTCCCTGGTGAGCTAGGATTTTATAAATGAACATTTACCAGGGAGGTCGCACACTTTAACTTTCTCTGACTGTGTGGAAATCTGATGTTTTCACATCACAGATGATGATCAAAGGCATTCAAATGTGGGTCTTACAGGTAAAACATGGAACTAATGTAAGGCTGATAGAAGTTATGTGTGTGGGTGGCTGCTCTTTAGGTACACTGAACTGACACCAAATGGTCAGGGGAGTGAATAACATTTCTCACATTTGTAGGTTAGGTTATTGAAGAGAAGACATTATTAATGTTCATAACAACAAAATTTAAAAAAGCATGAACTAATGAGCCAAAGACTACCGAAGATTTATACTGCCTATACAAGCAGAAGAGCTCTGTGCCTGGTGCAGCAAAAACTACTGCATGGGGCTGGCAGAGATATAGGTTTAGATAAAGGATAAGCTAATTGCGAGGCCACAGAGCATTCAGTATTCATGAAAGGATGTACAAAGTTGAAAAAGCTTCAATTTAAACCTGAAAGAGCAAGACAAGAATGTGACTAGATTACAGTTACACCTGTAAAGACTACCAGTCGTGTTCCACATCTGCTGGGCAGATGAATTCAAAGCATACAGGGAACACCTTGAAAACTTTTATGGATCTGCTTGTTTATAACTTGAGCTATGTGAATAGACACTGTTGTAAACTTAAAATATAGTACTGCATGACAAAAAAAAGGACACATGATTTGGTGTTGCTTCTAAAAGTGTCACACCTGCAAGGCATCTTCTCTCAACACATTACACTGCCAACTAAGTCAAAGTTACTCTGGTAGTCATATTAAATATACATTTTCACTACACCTCTCTTTTATTTTCCTTTTTAAAAAAAGCTGTGGGTCAGAGGATTTTTTTGTACTATGCAGTTATATGATTAGTTTTAGCTGATTAAACACGAGCCACAAAGAAAATTAAATATCTATGAAATACAATTTAAAAAAAGATGATCTTTGATGACTTGAACCCATTCCAACCTAAAATTATCTATAATATAACAATTTTGACTTTTATGCATATAACCTTGTGCTAAGTAACAAAAAAAAAAAATTAATTAACTGTGTGTATGAGTCTTTTCTTATGGAAGGGATTGACCACAGCCTTGTGTAACCAGAAACTGCTGGACACCTATTTCTCTTCGTGGCACTATTTATATTTGCTAGCATTTGGTGGAACAAGGACATTTTCAAAGGCAAACTATAAGAACCACAACAATGAAGCAGAGTTGCTGTTTTTCTTTCCTTACTGCATGTTCTCAAATGCGTAAACACAAGAAACTTGTGTTGGTGGTTTCTTTTCTGCACCAAAGTGCTATGGATATGGATAGAGGGTTATGGTGACACTATCCCTTTAACACAAGATTATGAAACTAACAAAAACTCAGTTGCTCCAATACAGAAAAAGTTAAATTTGTATGTGTAACAGACAAAGGGACAATTGCAGAGGGCTCTCCAATGTTTACTTAGTTTCTTAATTCAATTAAACAAAATAAAAATATTTTCCCCTCTACAGCTACTTGGAACCTGCAAGCTACACTGTTTATTGAATTTGGCATGGGACTAAACACATCACCAAACAGGTACAGAGGGTCTACTTTGAGAACAAGTATTTGTCAATGAACAAGCCTTCCAGATGAAACCTCATCAAAACTATGACTCAAAAATTCCCCCAAGTGTGACAAGAAAGTGGTGCAGGGAAAAGAAGGGGGGGGTGGCATAACAAAAGAAAATTCTGTAAAGGAATATTTCCAACAGTCTTTTGCAATGTTAATGGGTGACAGGACAAAAGCCAGAACAATTACTTGCCAATTTTATGCCTGGAACTGAAAATAAACACTACTGTTGAGCATAGTCTCCAGCACATCTACATAAAGAGCTTTTAGCTCCATAAACACTCGGTGAACCCTTCTTTTTCCAGTAAAGTCATTCCTCACAGAGATAAACAAACACTAATCTTTTGCATGAGTGCTACTTTTAATCCTTTGCCATTGTGGTACATCTCCCATAACTGGTAGAGTGCAAGACCAAATTCTTTTTGGAATGAAAATGGGTTATACCACAAGTACATTATAGGGAGTTACTAACTGTAACAATTTATAATCTTACTGGACTAATTTCCTTCTAATCTCCTTTTTAGACTCTGACTGGCCTCTTCCGGAGCCCCTCTGCCCCATTTGGCTGTTCCTTGATGTGCTGTTTTCTACCGCATCCATCATGCACCTATGCGCCATTTCACTGGATCGCTACATTGCCATCAAGAAGCCAATCCAACACAGCCAGTACAAATCCAGAGCCAAAGCGATGGTGAAGATTGCACTGGTGTGGCTCATATCCATTTGTAAGCATATCAATTCAGATTTCCATAACTCCTTAACTGTTAGTCTTCACTTCGATAAAAAGTGTTTCTCACAAACAGTCTGATTTCTTGACATTAGATCCATGGCAGACCTGGTTGATAAACCCACAAATATTTGCCAGATGCAATAAAAGCAGATACTATATAAAGCAGCAACCTGACAGTTATAGTGTATTTCAGAAGGATATGGGACAACACCCTGTGGGGACAACAACCATGTAAATTTTCTCGAGAAACTGTAGTTTGTCCAAACGGTAATGTGGCTTGTGCATCTAAAACAAGAAGCATTATTTTTGCGGTTTATTAGGTGGAAAAAAATAATGCCACCACATCAAACGGAAGCTGAAAGAAGGATGGTACAGTACCAAATATAAAGAGTAAAAGGCCACAAGCTTGCACAGACCATGAATGTGTCCCCGGGTGAAAAGGTGCTTTATCATTTTAAGAATGTAAGTTTTAGGAATAGAAAGCATTCGCAGAGGGGTTGGTGTAGCTGTTTGCTAGTCTTCTTTATGAAAGAATATTACAGTGTTGTCAACCTATTTTAGCTTTACAGTAAAACTAAAAAGTAGCTTCTGGCCATTGTGTGTAACAACAGAGCATACATACTTGGCAGAATTCACAGAGGCATTACTGTTCAGTGCCCAGTACTCAGACCACTAAAAGCGTAGTCATTTGGCTGATGGGTTCGGTTTCATTTGAGGTTAATTTCTTGACCAAAGCCAGAAGATCTGATGGAATGAAGGGAGCAGCACTTAACACTGCTGACAGCAGAGTTTTTACTGCGACTGTATACTGGTGTTCAGTTTAAGTGGAACTGGGGGATTAGTTTACTTGATTTTAAAAAAATAAACAAGGAAATCATGCAATCACAAGTTGCGATGTTACTCCTGACACTATACTGTCAATAAACAAATATTTTCTACTACCATACTCATTTAATAATAAATTAAACACAGAAATATCTTGTTTCCTCCATTTGATAGTTCTAACTATTCTTATAATTTTTTTTAGGTATTGCAATCCCGATTCCAATTAAGGGGCTTAAGGACTACCATCCTAACAACAACATCACCAACAACGTCACCTTTAACAGTAACCACACATGCCTGCTGAAAACCGACACCTTCCGAGAGTTTATCATGTTTGGCTCCTTGGTGGCATTCTTCATCCCTCTGACCATCATGATGGTCATCTACCTTCTTACAGTCCAGGTGTTGCGCAAAAAGGTTTATTTGCTCAGGTCAAGAGTGACTCAGCGCCTTAGCTACCCAACAGTAGCCACAGTTTTTCAAAGGGAACAAGCTGTGACTCAAGCTAAACAACTGAACATGCTGGATGGCAGACTTCCCAGGATGCAAGAAAAACCAAATACATGCACAACAAACTCTCCTACAGCAGAGGACATGTCCTTTCGGAGAATGTCAACAATGGGCAAGAGGTCAATGCAGACTCTGAGCAATGAGCAGCGAGCCTCAAAGGTGTTAGGCATCGTCTTCCTCCTGTTTGTAGTCATGTGGTGCCCTTTCTTCATTACCAATATCACCTCTGTGCTATGCACCAGCTGTGATGTTCGTATAATTGCCCGCCTCATGGAGATCTTTGTTTGGGTGGGTTATGTGTCGTCTGGTATCAACCCGCTGGTCTACACCCTATTCAACAAAACTTTCAGGCAAGCATTTACGCGTTACATGACCTGTAATTACAAAAACTGTGCAAGTCACAAGTCAGGAAGGCCCTCAGGGGCGTCACATACAGATCGGACCTTTACCCGGATTTCATTCAGATCTTCCATGGCAGAAAACTCTAAACTGTTCATGAAGCGAGGAATGACGAATGGAATCGGAGCAGTTAGCTACCAAAGTCCACTGAGGTGCCGGCAAGTACCTGTACAGTCATCCAGTGGTGTCGTGTTAGACACAATGATTCTGACTGAAAATGAAGGTGGTAAGCAGGAGGAACATGTTAGCTGTGTATAGAGATACCAGACAAATTAATTAAAAAGGGAGAATTTGACGTGGATCAGATTCATGGTGCAACAAATATTCAAAAACGCATGATTGGAATCTGCTGTTACTCCCAATTTGATTGAGAAATAATCTAATGTCAGTGCTCATTGTGCACTACACAACAACAAAATCTAACCTGTTGTCGTCTAAAGTTTTTTACATCCATAATGTTTTAACAAAAGCAAAACAAGGCAATATTTTTACTTACGATAATTTCAGAAACACACAAAACACTAATCACATTAAGTAAAACTCCTACGTATGGTCAAAATATAACTCAATGGGCCTTTACAACAGGCCATATCAACAATGTGAATTCTCAAAGACAGCAAGACAGTTCATAGTGTACCAGAATAGAGTTTGAATTCTCAAACGTTGTAGCCCTGAGATGACCTGTAACAGGTCAATTAACAAAAAAAAACCACAACAGAGGAGGATATCCTCTATGAAAAGGCAAAAGTCGACAAAATTAAGGACAACAGACAAAAATGTGAGGAGTGAAGACATAATGATAACCTGAAAACTCTATGTGAATGCAGTATACAATATACTCCTATGCTGACCCTTTTAACTTAGGCTATTTGAATATGCTGTAAACCATCTCAGACCACATGCTTATATTTTGCTAAGACAACTCTACCTTTCAAATTTCTTCTGCAACTGACACATATAATGCATTGCACTCTTGAAATGATACCTATTGTATTAGCTGGACCTTTGGAAAGCACTCTTGTATGTGTATTGGAACCTGATGTTTTGATATGTTAAAAAGTTTTCCAAATAAAATATGTATATTAGAAAGAACAAAATCCAGATTAAATGGAAACCTAAATGTGTTCAATAAAATATTTTCTGTGTTGCTGAACTGAAAGAAAACCAAAGCAGTTCTGAGCATTCGTATTCTTTTTCTGTCAACTTCTACACTACTTTCATTTTATAAGCAAGCAACGCTGTTTTTCATGAACTAATATGGACCAAAACACAACAGACAGCCAGATCAACAGTCTAAATTAGACAGACTTAAAAGATCAGCAAATACTGGAATAACTGCAAGTAAGGGCACTGTGGGAGAGCATACTAAGCAGTTTTTTTTTTTACCTTTATGTTTAACAATTGCAGTTTGTAGACTTATTGTAAGTAAGAATAAATCCAAATAGTAACAGTTAAATTAAACCAAATTAACAAAATATGGACAGTGTTTAATTAATGTGGCAAGATATATGATATCTGAGTTTGGAGTGTGTCAACATTTTATCTTTACCTGGACCGACCCTGTTTCATTGTTAACAAAATGAGAAACTTGCTTTTGAAAGAATAACAGAGACTTAAGACATTTGAAATCAAAGCTGTCTTCCTGTGTATGCTGGGGGAATAGAGGGAGTTATCCTTAAGCCATTAGGGTGGGAAGTTGGAGAAGAGGACTGAATTGTTCTGGTTCAGAAGACTTTCTAAACACTGTGAAGATTTACACAAAGTTTATCTAGCGGCCAATTGATCACACAGAATATCACATAGCCTTTTTTGGGCTTAAAAATGTACACCCTGATATTTGTGCACTGGCCAGGCTGTCTGTTTAATACTGCTCTGGTCTGTGATTGGTAAATTCATGTCTGCATAAGACTGATGAATCCCTATAAATAGCCAGGGAAGAAAATGTATGAGTGACAATGACAAGTACGTCCAGCTTCTTCTGACAGAGGAATATCTTCCATGAAGAACAGGAAGTTATTCTAGACAACAGTGCATCTAAATTCTTCGATCATACCATCGAGAGGGTGTTAATATCCAACTACAGCTCTTCAGCAATACAAAACTAAAAATTAGAGCAACCCAGGGCAACAGAAGAAAGAACAAACAAAAAACAAATGCTTCATTTTTAAGACAACCAGGGGATTGCAATGGTTCACGAAAGCAATGATATGCCTACACTGTGCATAGGTACATGCATTATCACCATTTGTTTTAGACATGCCAATGTTTTTACTGGTTCTTATCAAATGAGAACAAACACATTTAAGAGTTACATTTCATACGGAAAGCAGGATACAGTAAAAATATTTCGATGTCATATTTGCAATAAACACTTTTATAACCTAGGAGATTACACTAGATATTGTACAATGGAGTCTATTTCAGAAGTAAATGTCAAATAAAATTTCTATTGGACAAAATGAACTGCACAAATGCAGTGTTTAATTTCATCTTAACACAAAGCAGTGTGTGTTAGTGTAGAGGCAGATAAATAAATAATAGAAGAATTTTGGCCAAGACTGTGAGACTGCTGAGAGAAAGGCCTCTGGTGCATGTAAAGAAAGTATTTGTAGCTCAAGTAATTTAGTCTGGCCCTTACCTGAACAAAATGAAGCCAATGGACTCGACTGCAGCCCTTCTGACGTCATCATTCACATCACTCACCTTTATTAAGACAAGAAAAGCAGGCAAATTACCAAAACTGATACAGAGACTGTAATGAACCTTTATGATGCATCTCCCTTACGGCTCCCAGTATGAAGAATATTCTCAACTATCACAGCATCTAATAATTTTAGCTTGGATGAGCTGCCACCTACAGGACACCAAGTTGTTCACACCTCTGAAGCATGCTGCATTTGCATGGAATATAAATAAATCTTTAAACTGTAATGTCATACTCTTACTATTTTTTTTCTTGTAAAAAAGGACCCACAGTGAATTCAGGTGGTTCTAATAACTTGCAATACAAGATTACTGAGCTAAATGTATTCAAAACCTTTTATACAGCTTCAGGCACAAACAGGAAAACTAATTTGAATTATGATGCCAGCTACAGTTGCGCAGCCCTGGCTGTTGGTATCTGCTTCACTGCCAGCATGAAAGACCTGTCTTCCACTCAGTGAAATAATGTGTTGTGAAAAAGGCAGAACAGGAAACACTCACAGCGACATGTAGCAGGCGTCGGATGGCCTTGTTGTTCCCGGAGCCACAGTAGGCCATGCCCACCGTATACATACCAGAGCGCCGCAGGATGGGGTCCTATCAAACAGTGAAGGAAAGCAGAGCTTTGAGACTTTGTGTCTGGATGCACATCTAGGACTCATTTCCCACATTTACCTTACAGAAGCATCCTGACAAGTTTGACTCATTTAATACCCTCCCAAGGAGTACATCAACAACTATGAATTACACAAATAGAAAAAAAAAATTTTAAAAATAAAAAATTTTTTAAAATACACTGATACCCTCCCCACTTCCTTCTCAGATTAATCAAGCCAATGTCACTCCAGATGTATTGTTACTATCACATCTAAGCCTTACCTTGTCTCTGCAGAGGCTTTCAATGAGGGCATCGGCCTCCTCCATGCGCCCATACATGACCAGGGCAATTCCCACTGCCAAACCACGCAAGATCTTCTCGTGCTGTGTCTCTTGAGCATAGCCTACCATGTCCTCAATGGCCTGGGCTGACTTGGAGCCCAGCATGACCAGACCCAGGGCCAGGCCTGCAGCTTCACCTGAGAGGTTACAGAATATTGTCAGGAGGGCTTTTTTTGTTGAACCTGAATATGATTGTTATTTGAATGTATTATATTAGATCAGCACAAGCAGGAGTCAAAAATAATAATGTTTTTTTGGAATAGCAGAGTAATGAGGGTTAAAAACTGATGAGCCACCCTGCAATTCAGAAAACATTTCCATTTTGTCCAAGGCCTACACACCAGTAACAGCATCATCCTGGTACAGGTTGGACTTCAAGAGGTCATAAACATCCTGTCTTGCTGTTCCCAACGCAGCCAAACCAAGGCCAAGGGCACCACCATGACGGACAATCTGTGATGTAGAAGAAGAAAACAGACTATGAGAGACAGAACACTAGTACATAAATCAACGGAGACAATGACTTAAAGTAGCTGCAGGTCTCAGCTACAGACTTCTAGCTGAGGCTTCTATTTCTAAGACACAATACTTTTTGTGTTGTCTTATTTTATTATTCAGTTCAAAACAGAACCAGCATTCAATGTAAACGTCAAAAAACTTACATCATTGCTGGCGTTCTTGAGCTGACTGAGAAGGTAGTCAATGATGTCCCCGCCATGGTTGGCATGAATGAGCCCCAGAGCGTACAGGCCTCCTCCCTCCTGGTAGGCCGAGCCAGGAGAGGTGTCTTTGGGCAAGTAGGTGGCCATTAACTGGAGAGCCTCTTTCTCATGACCCTGAAAAACACAGCAAGTCATGTCAAATTGAATCTGGAATAAAATTCATTTCATTCATTTTTTTTAAATACCATTACATTATCATCACAGTGACATAAATTTACCTTGTGGATGACACCCAGACTTGCTGTGGCTGTGAACTTTGCCCAGTTGGTGGCTCTTGCAAGCCACTCCAAGTTTTCTCTGCAAGGTCAAACAAAAACTGTAGTCAAAATGTCACTGGGAGTAAATCTGTTTCTTAATCTCTGCAATCTATGAAATAGTTGTTTCTCACTGCACAATTACCTGAGGAACTGGTCACTTGTGGTTCCTGTGTGCATGAAAGAGTTGGCTATTACTGTTGCTGTGTGGCACACCGAATTTCGGACTGCATCCTGGAGTGACAGAGAAAAAAAAAAAAACATAAAAGCTCAGGAGAAAGCTGTGACAGAGAGTTCAGTGGCTTCACACAATCTACAGCTCATCTGACCATGTACACAACAGTTTATTAATTTATGTTCTCTCAGCCATTTATCTTATTGCTAGCCTTACCTTTGTGTTTTTGAGGATCATTAGATCTGTGTTGTTATTTCGGATTAGGAACTGCAAATGCAGCTCAATGGCCATTTCTCCACTTAGGATTTTGATCATCTTGGCGTTCTGGTCTTTAGGCTCATCTTTCTACAAAAACACAGAAGAAATATGATGATAAACCAAATCAAAGTTGCTCTTTTTAGACCCAGAAAGTTACAAGCACCTGTTATAACAAAAGTGCTGCAGTACAAAACAATCCAGAGAGCTTACCGTTTCTGCTGGCTTTCCAGCAGGGGAGCTGCCAGCCTTTTCATCTGTCTCCATAGCATCACTGTAGTGTCCAAAAACAACTTTGGTCAATGTTATGAATGTTATGATATGACTTATGTCAGTGACTCAAAAAAGCCTCAATTTTCAGTTAGTAGCCCCAAATCTCCCATATATAGTCACTGTCCTTGGCCTAATGGGCTATAAGATGCACATGTATATTATAGTTATACATGTACATATTTATGTTAAATCCTAAATATTCTGACAGAACATATCAGTGGCAGGGTTCGTGACACAAGCTGAGATAATTCAATGTTATGCATTGTTCCTGAGGACTTAAAGATTTAGAGAAATCTCCTGCCATGCTTGTCTAGTTTTTGGTTACTTAGGTAGAAACTCATACCCTTATTAAAAAAAACCTATACAGATGTTTTCTAAAGCTTAAATGATCAGGCAACAGTCCCTAAGCCTTTGTGAACATGAACAAGATGCAGTGGTTCGGCGAAGGTATAAGTGTGTCTTTATTCTCTCCCACTGCCTACCTGTCTTTGTCTGGTGTGGGCACAGTGCCTGTATTTGTAGAGCCGGGGACTGCAGGGATAGGTGTTCCAACGGTTCGCAAGTTCTGGATGACAGAGGAGAGGAACTGCTGGCTGGCGCTCTCATACAGATCAAAGCAGATCTGATAGGCCATCAGCAGGTTGTCCTCCTTGACTAGCTTCTCCAGGATGTCACTCACAGCCTGCGGGTCATCCAGGAATATCAGGCACTAGAGAGGGTAGGAGAAAAAAATATTGGAGAGGGATTTTAGCTTCTATCAGTATATAACATTGTTTCCAACTGTTCCAAAGAATCAAGTGAGTTAAAAAGTACAAAGTGTAAAAGAACATGTTAAATTCTCAGACAAA